GCTCATCTAATAAAAAAAACATCTACATAATGTATTATATATTATGTTTGGCAAATAGTTATATCGGAATATAACGTTATTCGCCCGCAATTAAGGCTTTAAGAGCGTAATTATTTGACTAAGAATGTGGGAATCATCGAGATTTTTTGTAGTGAATCTCGTTAATATAACCGCGTATGAAATAAGAAATGTCGACGATATAATAACGAGACAAATTATATATTAATTTATGAATAATTATGATAGTACTATTTGTCTGTGACTGCACGAGTCAAATTCGGGTAAACCGCCGTCCGCCAGTCAGGTTAGGTTATGTTAGGTTACCACTAGTTACTACTGCACGTCGTTCTAGGCCGAAATAGATATTATAGTTGTCAGTTGCGTGGCGGGCCCTCGAGGGTATCAGCGCTGCCATTGCAAGACTGATTGCGACAATAAACGTTGTGCCTGCCGCGGGGCTGACAAGTCGTGTAACAGTAAATGTCACGGAATAACTTCTTGCAAAAATAAAATATAATTCATAATAATATACAATAGAATAAAATAATAATACACGTATTGTTTTAAATTGAAAACAATGTCACGTTTCAATGAATAATATTTGGGATTCTCGCGAATATCTGCTGGTTTGTAACGATGATTATTAATTTATTATACCTACGTTTATTATATTATGTACATATTTTTGGTCAATAACGTTATTTCGAAACGATCTCGTTTCAATATTTAAACAATATTATGTAACTGCACCGACAAATAAATTAAAGTGAGTTGTCCACCTGCATAAATATCAACAACTACAGTTTGTCACCGTCGGTGCGAACCTAAATCGTATAAAATATTTGAACGAACGTAACTTTTAATAGAACATTTAATATGCGTGGAATTGATATTTGGCCACCGTTGTTAACCTTTCCCAGCGGCGGTACATACACAACTTCAACCATAAAATAATAATAATAGAAATAATAATAGCATACGCTTCTGTTTCACTGCAAATAATAATAATAATAATAATAATAATAATAATAATAATAATAATAATAATAATAATAATAATAATAATAATAATAATAATATAATATATTGTATAATAATATGTTTGTTTATGATGGCGAGCGAATTGTGGACCCGACCGTAATGTATTGTCCATGCATCGTTATTGTTATGCTCAGTTTGGCATCGGGAACGCAACACTTTGAAGTGTCTTCTATCAGGGGGAAAAAACACGAATAAATAATAATAGCAAGTATATTTGTTTTGGACCACTCAAGAGATAAGTGATGGCTGTGGCTGTAAAAGGTCGCCACTCCACATTACACTACTACGACTATATTTTCACATAATACTATTGCACTAATACAGACACACATATATATATATAAACAGTTTAAACCGTTTAATGTTGTAGGCATATTTTATTATTATTATGTATAAGTAATTTACCTACTTGGTGTTTGGTGACTGCAAGTGGCGTTGATCTAGTGACGGCGCTACGCTTGAATTTCACGGGACTTTTTTGTTAAAACTATCGGAATCAAACCTGTTCTTCATTTTGAATAACATAACGTCTTCATGATTCTTCATCGATTTGAAGTTGAGTACAATATTACAATCATACAACTATTCTCATCATACATACAAGGTTTACTCGTAGGTGCTTACATAGAGATGTGATGTGCTCACGGACTAAGATTTAATTACAGAAGCCAGATTCCTAGAAAACCAAAGTTTTCAAAATAAGCCACGAGGCATAGCGCCCACTTGCACTCTCATCATTAGTGTCACCACACTTTAGTGGTCACAGGGAGTATAGTAAAATTATGGTCATTAAAAATGAAATGTAAGCAATAAAAAAAGCATAGTGTATATTTTATAACTGTATACTATATTTAGACGCAAATTTTTATTTATCTTATCATTATCTATAGTAATATTAGATAATTATCTTTCTATAGGCTATCGCAATCACATTGTCATCTTTATTAAATAGGTACTTGGTGAGGAATTTCATCAAACCATTGGTTAAAAACCACCATGACTAAAATGGTTGACTAAGGTCTACGATATCCGAACTAAAGAACTAAGATAACTAGAACGGAATGGATCAGATGGTGTAGGATAATTTGTACGTGACGATGTCTGATTCGTTTGCAGTTCAATTTATTCTTTTCATTTTAATTATTCTAGAAAATTTGAAGCACAAATATTATTAAACGTCTGCCGTATCAAAAATATGAACATCAAATGATTAGCTTGGCAATTGAAACGTTTAGATATTATAGCGATAGTCATATGCCCATATCGGATCATACACAGTTCTATGAAGTATATTCGTCATCGATTGTCAACCTGCATGTTTGCGTTTGAATAAATTTCCAATAATTTCACTCATTTGTAATCAGTTTTCAGTTAGGTGTGTCTACACCAAAATTCGTCGTTTATAAAATGGAAAATTAATAATTATATGCAATATCTAGGTATTCTAATAATAACTTCGCCAGCGATGGTCTTCCCACCGTACATTTTTAATCGAAACTCGATGGTGACTATAAACACTGCAATTCTCGTTTATCTTTATTTATTTTTAATTTGTCTTTTTTATAAATAAATTGTGAGATTTTTTTTTAAAATTTTATTAATTTTTACTTAATTACGTGTATAATGAAAAAAAATTCCAATGGAGGGGTTTGAACACCCCCCACCCCCATCCACATGTGTTCGCCACTGGTTTAATATAGCTAGACGACCATCACGACGAGCCCATAATAACCATAATTCGAATGCATATTATTATATTATAATACGTTGTTAAATTGTGTGATTTAACGAGCGGAGCGGTCACATTGTGCCACACAGTCTTCTTGGCGCCCGGTGCATACCGCTATGTAACTAAATATAAAAACAACTGTTTTAGAGTCCGTGCGAACTGAGAATGGCTCTAACGAAATTATGCGTGACTGTGTAATTTACTTTTACTGACGTCAATTTGTTAAACACTTCTTAGTTTTGTTTTGAAAATTATACATAATGTGCTCAACGCGTGTGCTATAGTAAATATTGCCTACCCTGTTGTTGAATAAAGGTTATTTAGATTAAAATCTGTTCAATGACATTTTATTTATACGATTTCGGTTCCTCTACAAGTTTCTTGATTTATGAACCTACAACATATTTATCGACCTGTAGCTATCGTTTGAAGACTAAAGAAGAAGGACAATTAACATCAATAATATTATACACAAACACTTTTTTTTAACAAAACCTAATCATCAGTGTGGACTCCTGGGTCGATGCTCGTGTATCTACAAATACTGCACCTGCTGCTGCAGATGACAACGGCTGGAAGGACACCTCTCGCATTCTGGTCGTGACGGTGGCGCTCTATAATAATCATCGCGCTTTTGATGTCTCACGGTTTATTTTCTTGATATACTTATTTTAGATAATTTTCAAGCCCATCGCCTGCAGCACTTTATAACATTTGGGCAATGTACTACAGTAATATTATAATATTATAATGTATTATGCCAAACCAGCGACATGGCAAACCTATAGCTATATCTATATACGACTATATTAATATAATAACAATATATTTATATTATTCGTAGATATGTTAGCACTTATATATTGTCCAGTCACCGCGTGTTGCATTCACACATTTCTATTATACCACACAGAGTATGCATATATGATATATAACTATACATGTAGTATAGAAATCTGTGGTCGCTTTTTACAAAGTGATGGTCGGCGGTCTCGACGCGTACGTATGTACTGGGACGTTTGCATTTTATTTTTCTCCCGCCCCGACCGTCGGCATAATAATATTAATATTTTTTATCGTGTGCACAATATTACACTCTAGCTCTCGGTGCCAAACATAATACGATTTTGGTGTGTGACGGGTTGGAATAATAAGTTCTGCTGTCCAGTGATAGTAGTGATACTACAATATTATTATCATGTGTCATGAGACGGCATATCGAAATAACAATCTAACTCAGTACGAGTACTGAGTAGATACACACTAAAAATACAAAGATGTTGATCGGGAAGCCGGTCCGAAGACGTTTAACGTCCATTGATGTTCTATGGCTATCTTGACGGCTTAATGCGTTTGTATGTAATAAATATGATTGCGTTCAAGTCATAATAGTATATCACGATTCTTTTGTCTTTTCCCGTGTATGCATTCTATTATATATGCACACTATTCAACTGTTTTCTTTGTGCTCAATTTGAAACTGGTTAATTCATGGTTTTCGAGGATTAAAGAGACTAGGCAGTAAAGTAGTCCTATCAACTCTCCAGAGCCAAACTGAAACTGGTTAATTTATGGCCTTTTGGTCGTTTAAGGGTAGGTGCATTACCGAAAGGTGCATAATATTATACGACAACATAATATGTAGTCCGCGAGATTAGTTGGCCGGCTGCTATAGCTTTTAGGTGGTCTGTTGCTGTCTGTTCTAGGCGGTTGGTTGTTGTCACTTTTAGGTGGCTGTCCGCATTGTTGTCGTTCCTTGACGTGCAGCTCACCGAAGCCGGCGCAAGTGCGATCCACGGTGCCGACACCATCACGATGTCGCATTCACAACACAAATGATGACAATAACAATAACAATAACAACAATCCGACTCCACAGCCGCCGCCGCCGCCAACGGTGCGCAATAACTCAATCGCGGCCGGTAACGTTTAATAGGACGGACCGGTCGGTGGGCGGCAGGACGGGCGGGAGAACTTAAACGTACGGCGATAATATCCGGCGGCGATGAATACCGCCGGTGTGTGCACGGCCGGAAAGTTGATAATTAACGGCGGGTCGACGGCGAGCGTTGTGCCGCCACCGCGACTACGGGACGGGCGAAACGCCGAGCGGGTGAACGAAAGCGCGCGCGCGCTACCCTCCTCCACCTCCACGGCCGCTGTACAGCGTTAACGCGGCGGCGTCCGTTCTCGCGGGCGACACGACCACCATCAGTCGACGGTACGCGCGCGTTGTGTGCGGAAAAGCGGACGATTTCGCTCGCCGCCACCCACACGTCATAATATTATCGTCGTACTACCTATAGACGACGCCGGCGACTCGCGTGTTTTCCGCTATTATAACGCCGCTTAAAATAATATTATTGTTATTGTTATAATTTTTTTTTTTTTTTGTCGTTGTTGTTCGTACAGTGGTGCTGTCTCGGTGTAGGTGGGTGGGGTGGTGCTGCAGGTGTTCGTGTTGTTGGTGTTGTGGGTGTTTAAGGTTTCCGCGGGTGTTCGTCGCGATCTTCTCTCCCGCATAGTGACGGTCCCGCTAGCCTTCTACCGGTCCGGCGCGCTCCGGCACCGCGGACGATGACTGATTCGCGTCCGACGCACGCCGACCGTCGTCATCCGGCGGCGTCACCGCTGCCGGCCGCACCGGAAGCCACGTGACGTGGTTGCCACTGCTGCTGCGGCGGCGGCGCCTGCTGCAGGTCGCGACCGCGACGACAACCGGCGAGCTGCTCGCTTACCGGGCGGCGACCGCGGCCGCTGCGGCGGTGGCCCAACGAACGGCCGCGGCGGCGGCGATGTACAGCAACGGTACCGGTGGCTCCGACTTCGGCGGATTTAATTACACCGACGAATACACCGACGGCGGCAATTGTTCCGTGTTCCCCGCGTCGCCGTCGTCCGTGTTCAACAACGCCACTGGCTGCTACGATGAGCCCGTCGTCGTCATCGTCAAGAACTATTGGGCGCTGGGGCTGGTCGTGTTCCCAATACTCACGCTGTTCGGCAACGTGCTGGTGATAATCAGCGTGTGCCGGGAACGGGCCCTGCAGTCCGTCACCAATTACTTTATCGTCAGCCTGGCGCTGGCCGATCTGCTGGTCGCCCTCGTGGTCATGCCGTTCGCTGTCTACGTGCTGGTGAGTGCATCGCACTGCATGCTGCGCGCGCATCTGTCGAAATATTGCAGACCATTCGTTCGATAAAAATATATTATGTCGATACGAACAACGATTAATATTTAACATTGTCATTACGACGTATAATACTGCTACGATGCCGATAAATGACGTGTATATTGTCAAGTCCTATATACCTATAATGTTACGCGGACGACCGGTGTGATCTATTGCTAAAAAATATGTATACCTTACACTATTTGTTTGTAGGCATACATATAGCATGCCTTTTTCACTTAGGTTGGTGACAATGGCAAAAAATTTATCATTAAGTCAAACACAAAACACCCCTTATTACTATTATTGCGGCTATCGGATACAAGAACATAATACTTTTGAAGTCAGTATTTAGTGCATAGTTATTGTGTAGTACTTTTCCACACAAAAATTACGAAAATCTTATGAAAACCCGAAAGAAAAGGAGCTGTATTGATGAAAATTTCACTTTTTGGAAATTTAAATTCAGAAAAATTGCGCACAATTAAAGTATAATATCCATAAAAGGTCATTTTTTCTCAAAATATTTTCTGATTATCACGCCCGATAACTACTCAATATCATCTGATAATTTGAATTTTTTACAAATAATTATAGACTACTTCGTGCTCGTCACTGAAAATCATATGATAGGCCTGCTGGGTCCAGTGGAGGTAAAAACATGGAGTGGCGGTGAAGGGGGAGTAGTAGACTAGTAGATCTACCCATGTACTTTTTTTTTTCAATATTTATGATTTTATTATCATTAATTACATTTTTAATGATAAAATAGTTTAAAAATGTTGAAAAATAAATCACTTACGGGGTCCCATGGTAACATTTCATCATATAATCGTGCCATTGGAAAGTGTACGCTAAAAATAAAACTAGAGAAGCGAGTACATACTGTGTGTACCCCCGTACACCAATAAGCGCAAATTGGAGGGGGGACTTAGCCCCCTCAAATCTAGCCGTAGCTCTCCCAAAAATCTATAGGATTTACAATTTTAAAATGCTATATTGTAAATATGTACAGATTGCGTTTTTTTTAATATTTACATAATATTATATATTATGAGACGGCCACATTAGTTATAAAATATAAATTATCTCTGATATTATAGAAATACATTTATAATTTTGGCCCTAATTTATTAGGAATTATTATTACAAAGTCGTATTATTGCTGTCACATAATGGCGATGACTTATACTAAATGTATATTTAGGTATCTACTTCATTATAATATAAGATACTTTCTACTAAACGCACAATGTTAGTAATAGGCGATAGTCCCACGTCATAATATTTGACATGGCGTGTTTATACTATATTGGATTAAAAGTTTGTTTTTATTGTTTTAAATTCTTTCAAATTAGGTCTTTTAAGAGATTTTTGAGACTATATAGTGATTTTTTGAGATCATTTAGTGCGCTTGTCTGAATTCTGAATACATTTATATTTTGGTTACACATGCTCGCTTTCCTCTTGTCGTTTTCATTACAACAATCCGTGTTTACGTTTATCTTTACGTTAGACTATCGTTTATTTTTCATGATTAGTGCATTTAAACTTATTTCAACGTTTTTAAAAACTTTTATTTTTACAAGTAATGTAAAATCTATATCATTAATACAATAAGAATATATGCTAAAAGTACATTCACTGGAAAATACGGGGCTGCTTACCTTTAACATAATATTAAGCCCCCTTCAAGTCAAAAGTTGAAATTACGCCTATGCGTATACCTCCACAGACCACAATACGCCACTGTACTAATAAATACAACAATTTCAGATATTGTTATAATTTTTCCGGATTCAAAACTTCAAATTACGTTTATCCGTTGGGTATTTATACTTGAAACTTGGGCTGTGTTCTATTGCATATAATTCTATAGGTGCAATATTTTGATCTAATATACAATTATTGCGGTGATAACATAGTTTTTTTTCCGTCTTGAAGCGTTAACTGTTTTGAAAACATCTGAGAAATTGTGCGAAAAACGTCTTCGAAGCGGACTAGCTTAGCTAGTTTAGAAAAAGGGACTGAAAATAAACTGAATATTTACTTTATATTAATTTTAAAAAACTGCCTACCACAAGATATCGTAGGTGCCATTTACCCAGAATTATTTTATTTATTTATTTTTTTTGTTAGAAGCGATTTGAAATTGAAATCTATTTCGAGTTGTAGGTTTTTCGGTCCTATTGAACATATTATTTTGGTTTCATAAACCTTACATAAATTAGTGTTTAAATTGTTTTTTTTGGGTTTCATCTCGCTTATACACAATTGACGTTAAATTAAAATGTATATGTATTATGTTTTTGTTCTAAATAACTGATGATGAAGTACAGATTTGTATTTTACTTTTATTCTTAGTTGTTTAAATCTTGTTTTGATTTCAAATAGAAACTTAATAAAACAAATAATAAAGTAATAATATTTTATCACCGTATTAAAGCTCGGAAATCGTGACAAATTTCAATTGGAAATACCGTAAAATAAAACTGGAATCGAAACCTATAAAATCAACAGGGTTCTAGTTCCTGATTTAGACGTAATTTCGTGTAGAAAATTTGATGGGGGTAAGCGAGTGCCGATAGATATATGCTTGCAGTCGTCGATGAAGTATTCAACTATCAAGTTCTGCCACAGAACACTTCTGTGTTAGGTTACGATCCGAGGCGTAAACCATAATATTCTGTAGAAATAGGGCTAGTAGCGGACGTTGTCCGTTCGACTTCGAAATGGTTTTGGTTTTCTGACCAAGACAGAATAAAAGGATAGGGCGATCTTTTCATTTTTACGACTGATGGGGCGGACTTTCAGTGACTACATAATATTACTACATTATTATTATACGATACGCAACGAGCCGTCTTGTTAATATCAAAATGTATAGACAATTGTGATTATTTCGTGTGCTAGTGGTTGTGGTGGTGGTGGTGGTGGAAAATATCATTTACGTCCGGGAGTCGTGTCATAATAAATATACAAACAAAATAACGACAGTACAGAACAGTATTAAAATAAAAATTTGCGATTAGCAGTTCCGCATCGGGTCGTTAAACCCGCAGCAGGAAAGGCCTGCCTTGTCTGATGTATTATATAATCGAGAGGAAATCGTATTTACTATGTTATTACGCGTGAGGTTGACAGAGCCACGACCGCAATTTCTTTTGTATTATGACATTTGTCTTATCACGTTTCCTTCAGAAATAAAAGTGCCGTATCTTATAACATCATTACCACCACCAACGCCACCCGCCCCATAATAAGGTTTTATCTCATTTAAAAATACTCCGTGAAAATACTCAATGTTTATTTCAACACTCGTCGACAACTGCACTCCCCCTCGCTGTGAAATTTTCATCGTTATAATCGAACTTGTGAGCAGAAAAGAAATGATGTTCCGAACTCTCTGAGAATAAAATCTTATTGCTTAAATATTGTTTTGAACGATTTTGATTGTACATTATATTATGAGTTGTGAATCATTTTAATATTTTCAATTTTGTAATAATTAGTTTATAATAATTAATAACACACAGCATGTAGGTAAATTATATTACCACGTACGTATAATATAGCTAGATGATAGGTAGTTCATTAATTATTATGTACCTATTCAATACTTATATACAGTCAGATACGCATACTTATAGTTTTATGAATATATACATAACACAAGGTGTCTGTTAGGAAGCGTGGAGGGGGACTCGCCGCCTTGACAAAAACCGGGTTGTAGCCATTTTACCTGCATACTAAAAAAATGATGAAAAATGATGTAATTAATGCAAATAAAACGTTGAAAGTTCAAACCAAAAACTTTATATGAACACATTTTTTTTAAAGACATTTCATTCAAATTTCGAAGATATTCGATTTTTAAAGGAAAATTACGATTTTAGTAATTTTGTTGTAATTCAAAAAATATTATTTGCTAGGACTTTACATTTTTCATTACTATGTATAATATTAACACTAATAATTACTATCCATGATGGAATTTTAAAAATGCTTAAATTCACTATAAGTCATTTATATATCACGTTTCAATCCAAACAATGCATTTTACTATGTAATACTAATATACAAATAAATGACTAATGATTATTAGTACCTAATATCATTTATGCATCTTTGGAACTGTATGATTCCAGATCGCTTCCACTCAGAATTATTTTTCATATACAATGATTCATTATTGAATTCAAATATAACACATTCTTTACAGTAGTCGATAAATGAATAGGTATACTCGAAATCTACTATATGTTGAAGAGTTACCGGTTTTTTATTTTCGATTAAATTAAGCTTTCAATTTTAAGTCATAAAAATCGTATCAAGTAGCAATAGACACAATTATGTATATTTATAAAAATGTTTCGTAGATTGTAGTATACATCGTAAAATGGGGTGCAAAGACACCCTGGACGTGGTACGCTGAATTGGAAATTGGACCGTTTCCTTAGATATTAGATGATTTCAACTAATTCTATTTGGAAACATACATTTTGGTGGGATTATTATCAAAGAGATGTTTGTATACCGTGTGTTTGGGTTATTCTATATTATACTATACATTATACGTTATTTGTCTGTCTGAACTACAAGTCTTCACCGTGACCAAACTACAGATATTGTATGAGTGATATGCTGTCATGCGCAATTTGTTTTTGGTTGAACAAATTATTACGTTGGAATTAAATCGGACTGGATTTTGGTAGATAAATCATCATTTAATATTGCTATTTAGGAATAGTATTTCATTTTTTTGCAATTGTGATTCAAGTTTAGTATATCATTAGTAAATGTAAATTATTTAAATATTACAGCGAAACTTCAAATTTTTGAGAACCAAACCAAATTGGAACCAGATGTATTTAATTTTATTTGGCGAATTTATTTTTCTATAATACGCAATTTTTTTCGAAAGGCTTCGAAATTATATAGAAGATTCACTATATTTTATTTTAGAATATTAGGTATGTTTATTTTGGTATGTCATATTTTTATACATCCAAAATATTGTTTATATAAAA